TACCATTTGTGTGCCAGCTGCTTATGATTTTCTTTGATTTTGCCTTGTACAACCAAGTGCCCTGGGGGTCTATAGATGTACACAACAGGAGAATAGCAATTACATTATTATAGTTGCACTAAAATGCTAATGGTTAATTAAGTGATAAATTACTACCCCAATACAATGAATAATTGATTACCAGTGACCCTGTAATCTAGCTAGTACAGCATCAGCTTTCAACACAGAGAGCTGTTTGTTGTTTTCTACTGAATTAACATTTGTGGTGTGCTCACCTTAGGTAGGGGTGAGGATGTTGGGTTAAACACTGTGCAGTATTGGTGACATTCACAGAGTAAACCAGTGATCACTTAGCAAGGAGGAGGTAAGTGCCACTCATGTCCTCTCTTCAATCTCAGGTGGGTTGTCGAACTATAGCATTAACATTAGAGTACTTTAAACAATTTGTCTCCATATATATATAGCTGTGCCTCCAGATCAGGGCTTGAATGAGCATAAACTTTGTGTAACTGAATGTCAACAAGACAGAAGCCATACTCCTTAGGTCCTGTTAATGAGTTCTGTCCTGTGGCTCTGAACTTCTCAACCTCCCTGGCCTATCTCTCACACTCACCGAGCCAGTGTTCAATCAAGATTTGACCCACAGCTGTCCTTCCTTCCCCACATCCGGTCCCTGACTAGGACCTCCTTCCACCACCACACTGCCAGTCTCCAACCGAACCTTACCCAATACACAGCCGAAACATTTGTCCATGCATTCGACGTTCGTCACCTCCCAGCTCGACTTCTGAAATGTCCTATTTGCTGGTCTCCCCAGCTCCTCCACAAGATCCAGCTGATCCAAACCTCCGCCACCAGCATACTCACCCATACTAAACTCCCTACCCCCATTACACCTGTTCTGATGGGGCGGAGGACAAAAAGTTTTAGTTAAAATTTCGATTAATTTTCCTATTGATAAAATATACTGATGTGAAATGGGTTCTGTTTTGAGGCAAAATAAAAGTTTCTAGTGCAAACTCAAATCTAGGTTTATTGCCATCTGCTGTGTAATTTGATCAAATCTGTGTATGGATCTGTGTGCGAAGGATGTTTAGAGTCTTTTCACCATAAAAATTTTGATATTGACAGTGTAAAGTCAGACATTATCAAGCACACTCTCAAGCTCATAAGGAAACACCTTTTGGACACACGTTTTTACACTAGAATACATTTTTTTTCAGTATATTGTAAATGAGAGGTACATAAAGGATGTGTAAATTTCTTGAATATAAATTTTAATACATGACTGAATAATAATAATAATCCTTGCATTTGATATAGCGCTTTTCACGTCGGGAGGACGTCCCAAAGCGCTTCACAGAACACACTGTAAAGTGAATTGACTGTATATTTGTGGGCGAACGCGGCAGCCAATTGCGCACAGCAATGTCCCACAAACAGTCGTAGATTGAAAATGACCAATTTATTATTGTTTTTGGAGGGATTATTATTAGGCGTGTGGAGTAAGGAAACTTGCCCAAGGTTTTGCCCTCTGCCTGGAATTGAACTCAGGTCTCTCGTTTGCAAAGCGAGTGCTCTAACCACTGAGCTACAGGACTCTGAAGAAGATAGCTTAATACAGAGGGTCAGGATGATACCCTCATAAATCAGCCACAACATGAACCAGATCCACAATAAAATGTTCTGTGTTTTAAACTAACATACCCTAACCCCAGCCTCCTAACAGCTTCCTTAACTGCACTGACTTTTCCATTAGCCAGACTGGCAAAATTAAATGCGATACTGTCCACTCAATTAAACTTGGATTATTGCTGGTTTTGCTCTGTGCACATATGTTCTCTTCTGAAAGGCGCTATACAAGTGTAAATAGTATTGCATTTTGCAGGATCCGTGTTTTGACTGATCAAATCCATGCAACACTGGTATTATGAATGGGATGCTGGTTAGATTTCCCATTCAAGGTGTCAGCGAACAGAGATTCATGATGCTGCAGGAAGAAAAATTCTGCACAAAATATCTGCCCCAAGGTTACTAGTAACCAGTATATAAACTGAATAACAAGAAGAAACCAAGCTGATATCCTGCTCTATTCTTTCATTGTGCACTTCTAATGGGATTTCTCATTATAACAGCACACTGAAACATTCATCTTACTTAGTGAATGGAGCAGAAAAAGGCCCTTAGAGAAACCAATAAAATGAACAGATAAGTGTCTTTTTTTACATTTAGGATTAGCAATTCAGTAGAATCCACTTCCCTTTTAACAATAAATTGATTTATTTTGCGGAGGTGCAAATTGCTCCTTCAACTACCCCCAGTGGGTGGCTTAAAGAGCATAGGAAAATAGGAGAACAGGAGGAAGCACAACAAACATATTCCACTCTGCTAGTAATCACAGGATTGGTTTGGATGAAAAAGTCCCTTGACCCATCTGATCTGGATACAGTTCAATATCCTAGCCTCAACCCTCCTGACAACTTATTCCAGTTCTTAATTAGATGTTGGTAGATCGTTTAATCACAATTTCCCACCTCTTCAGCAAACCCCTCAATACCTCTACCTCCCAAGTACAGTAGAACTAATTCTGTTTTGAACATTCCCATTGATTCTGCCTCTACAGCTTTCAGGGAAAGAGGATTCCACTTCTTCACAACCCTCTGTGTGACTTTAGGTGTCAGAACCTACATTTATACTGCACATTTCATGGTGAATCACTACCCAAACTGCAGGGCATCAAACACATTCTAATTATTAATGGGGCACAGATCACCGACAAGAGTGAAGCAAGTTTCCAACCTGTGATCCAAATGCAAAGCAAGCAATAGCTTGTCTCTTGATCTGGTCTGTTCTAAGTTATGAAACAATGCTTTGATATAAAAGCTAACCACATTGGAGATAACTTTGTTGGTGATATGCTATAGGCATTTTCACATGCACCACAGCATCTAGCGATAGAGCTGCTTAAATACAAGCTGCAAAGGAAAATGTAGTACAGTGCTCAGGAATACAAATGATGTAAACAGGTTAATCCAAGTAAATCCAGATTAGTTTTGGATGAATGCGTTGCACCTTGCCAATTAAATCCACCGTGCTTCACAATGAAAGAAATATTGACAATTCTTATCCCAATTCTCATCAGTAGTTAGACAGAATTCACAACAATAGAAAATGCTCGTGAAATGAACTGGAACCAAACTAATGGAATAGGTAAGTTATCATGAAAGAGCATTTAGGTCTGAAAAAAACAGTTGTGTGTTGTTTCTTTTTTTCTTGTTGACAGGACATCACAAATTGAAAATGGATTGTAAGTGTGTGATTGACTAAAACTCCTCTGACGTTGAAAACGTTATTCTAAAACACTGGTAAAATGTTTATTTTAGACTTCAGAAGTGTTTGAAATAAATTTAACTGCTAACGGCAGAATGCTTTGCCCTAGTGCATTGAAACAAAAATGGAAACTGGATGGATCAGAAAGGCAAATGCAATGCAATCTCCTCTCTGAAAACTGCTGTAATTTATAGTGAACATGAATCTATTGCAAGATCAACCCCTTTCTAAAATAAGTATATCTAGTGGAAAAAGGAAATGTCAATTCTCTGCAGTTCCAACCCTTTACAAAATTACCCAAAACACCAGTACTAAATTGAACAAACCTGTTTTTTTTAATCCAATTTAAATTATTATACACATCGATAAGGTCCCTCTGAGATGTCTCCTTTCAAGGTTGAACATTCTATGTAACCATCCTTGCACCTTGTCACAGACAGGTTGCACAAAGGGTACCCCATGAAATATTGATTATTGACAATTAATTTGGTATCAAAATCTATCTCGGGGAATTGTAGCCCATTTTATTCTAGAATTTATAATCCCACGTGAAACTGGTTTAACTACCATTGAACCATCGGTAAATTGAGAGCAACTTTGCAAATAAAATCTACGCTTAGATCAGAACCTCGCCAAAACCACAAGTCAAATAAGCTGTTTATAAATCATGAACAACTTAAATTGTAATTTGAGTAATTCCAGCTAAATAAAATTAAGTATAAAATCTCACAAAAGGAATTCAATTCTAAAAGTGCTGCTGACTCCATGTGAAAAATGTTTTAATGTCTTAATCTTCCTTGGAATGCTGAGTATTAAATACTAAATAACTGGAAGAACGCACATTTTATGTTTGGATTAGATTACAATTTTGAATTAAAATTGAGTGCTTGGATCAGGAGATTTGTCTGAGAGCATTTAATCGGAAGAGGATTAGTATTTTTAAATGGTATGTTTGAAGCAGGTGCGAAATGACCTGCAGTTCGATATATATCATGCTGACTACGTCATCAAATTGGGTCTGGCCATTTGATAATGACTTCCTAAGCATTTTGACTCTGAAATATCATTCTTCATCATCAAAGATGGCACACTAAAAAAAACCTTATGTTTGAAATAGTGTCTTTCACCTCATGAGGATTTCTCAAAAAGCTTCACAGCTACTGTTGAGTGATTGTGTACCATGAGGACATATGATAGCATCTCAGAGTTTCTTGTGATAATACTTGGGAAATAATTAGATTGAGAATCAATTTGAGCTTTTCACAAACAGTTTTTAATTTTGTTTTGGTCAGCTGGATGTCTGACACATGGAGAAACTTATTGCCGTGCTCCAGACCAAACTACTGGGAGTTCCACACATGTTTTTCATCTGCCTTGACTGGAATGTGCATTCTCTCTTTGTTTTTTCCTATTCCAGAGCATTTAGGTGAAGGTTGGCAAGTGCCAATGCTTTGGAACCCCAGAATGGGCCCTGATATACTGCTGGAGTTTAATCAATCAGTTAAAACTGCAAAACTTACGACTGCAGAGCACACTCCAGCAAAGTTAGTTGGAGATGACGCTAAGAATGAATTATGCAGAAACCTATTAAAATGTTTGACAAGCATCAATTGCATTTCAGTTGAAGGTCACATATATGTCATGACAGTATGACAAAACTAATATCTTACCTTGCCAACATACTGAGCTTCTGGTCCTATGTGTTCTTCTAAAACAAAGAATTGGTTCCAGACCCAGCCTCGTTTCGGACGATGATGAACTTCTTTCTTTCCCTCCAAGTGCTTACTTTGATTTTTTGCCACCTTTAAAGTGTTCTGGAGGGACGTTGTTAAACCAACTAAACAAAAGCAGACAAACACCGGGCACAAGGAAGTGGTGAATGTAAGTTTCATTGTGAGAATAAGTCTGGTTTCAGTGAAGTTCCTTTAATTTTTCCAAATGCTCTTTTAAAGTGCAACAGAGGCACCGATATATCCACTATCAGAAGGCAATCCAAGGAAACCTTGATGGTTCCATGACTGGACTACCCACTAGGGAGAACGTCAGACTTTGTTCACATCATGGAAAAGCCTTAGCAACCTGGATGTATGTTCTGTCGATCTCATCAATTCTTCCTGTGGCTTAACATGTTAGACCTATTGTGAAGACAAGAAGAAATCAATCAATCATTACAATATAAAAGATGTGTATTGACTAAGTAAATTGGCACATCAGAAAAGTATCTACATATTCACTATTTTAGCCAGTACAATACCTGAAAACAGATTGCAATGCCCTTTCCTAATGCAGGAAATTAGGTATTATCATAACCTTTAATCAATCATAAAGGAAAAAAGGGGGGGAAGGGAATGATACATACAAAGAATCTGGGCAAAATTAAACATTAAACTGAAGCGCCACAGCAGAATTCAGACACTAAGGAGCAAGATTTGACTTTTGTCATCACCACTGATCATTAAGCAATTGGAGATTCCACAAGTAGCGGAAGTGGAATCTGTTCGTAGGTGATAGATAAAGTCCATAATATCCCATGAATTTGTTGGCTCACTGCATTACAAAGTGTCAACTTCTGGGTCATCAGGTTGTTACAGGAAGTGTCTTTGGCAGTAACCTGTGGAGTCCTGCAGCTTAGTGGTTAGTGGACTCGCCTTGCAAGCGAGAGACCTGGGTTCGATTCCCAGCAGGGTAAAACCTTGGGCAAGTGTCCTTACTCCACACGCCTGATGATAATGTCTCAAGAGAAAAAAACAATAATAATTTGGTCACTCAATCCACGACTGTTTGTGGGACACTGCTGTGTGCAATTGGTGCCACGTTTCGCCCACCAATATACAATCAATTCACTTTACAGTATATTCTGTGAATCGCTTTGAAATGTCTAGGAGACATGAAAAGTGCTATATCAAATGCAATTTTTGTTTATTATTATAACCTCATGATCCAAAAGTTGGGCATTGGTTTAAAAATGTGGGGCTCCAGCCAGCGAGTGGGAAGACAAAATTGCTGACTTCTAGTCATCATGACCATCCTACAGGACCTGATGTTGGCCACAAACTGATGACCATTTTGGTCAATTGGTCATCTTGGCTTCCTCTGTGCCTTCAAAGCACTGATGGAGTCATTGTGTGCATTTTAGATTTTTTGAGTAAGAAACTGCTAGGCGTCACACCACAACTGTGCAATAAGTGAATCTATAGCCACAGCTAAATGCATTATAAGGTTGTTTCACTGAATGTGAAGATCAAAACAAAGAGAAGCAGAAATGAATGTTAAAGAGGCAAGTGTACATTTTCTTAGTAAAAACAGAAGAAGATTCCAGCTGGACTTCAGACAAAAGCAATTTATTAGCATTAAATAGCTAGAAGCAAAATACCAAGAGTATTGTAACTGGATCTAATAATAGTCACGAAAAGTGAATAATATAATGAAAATCATCTTCTAATTAACATGCGTCTTGGGGGAAGTTCAGCTTTTACTATCTTTTGTTTTACTTGTGCCCAAGTAAATAAACAATAACACCACTTTATATTTTCTCCTAGAGGAATTATCCTCAAGTGAGAACAGGAGATGCATGATTCTATTCATCCTACCATTCCCTGATTTCATTCCATTATATCTTCTTCTATGACATAAGACTGGTTTGCAATTACAATTATTTCCAAATAATGAGGAACTCAGTTGTGGGACTGGGCAAAACATGTGATAAATGCTGTGCTTTCAAAACAAGGCTTTGAATCCTACCTAGCAGACCAATAGGATTAAATGCTCCCATCCTTGCTATGCTAGATAAAATAAATGTGTCTTGATCCAGACACCAGTGGTTAAAAATGAACAATGTAAATAGCTCATAAATCAGACCTATGTGGAACTAATAATAATCATAATCCTTGCATTTGATATAGCAGTGTGTTGGGAATATGTCTCAGTTCTTCAAACAAAGAGCCAAATAGCCACCAGTCATTTTAATCACAAGGAGTTCACATCCTTCGTATATATTTGCGAGAAGGAGAAGAGAATGGGAAATGCTGTATGCAGTTTGCATGTTAAACTTGAAATGAAAATGTTGTTTAAAATCTCTTTGTTAAATTGGTCATTCACTTCATGCCTGTCTATGGCACATTACTTGGGGAAAATTAGCCGCCTGCAAAAAACAGTCACTGCGCATTACAGTAGATCTTGTAAAGTTCCTCCCACTGTGAAAGGGACTATATCAAATGCAAAAGTAGCGCTATCCCAGGAGAAGTGCTCAAGAGTCCATGGACCGCAGTGGTCATTTTTACCGATCTCAGACTTAGAAAGGACTGACCTTTAACTCTTGGAAATCCTGATCTTTCAAAACTGAGAGCTCATAAAGCAGGAATAAAAGCTCAGTCCTTTATTCAGCTGAAGTCCTTTATTCTAACATAAAGCTTAGCCAAATAACTATTATTAGGTTTAATACTCATTGGATGAACTTAAATTTAAACTACACATTAAACAGCTCCTTTTATTGCTGTGTACTGATCTCTAAGCCCTACAAAATAATTCTTATAAATCAGTTGGAACGTGTAAAATTTACTGTGTGGTTCCCAGTATCAATGATAAAACTGTTGTAAAATTGAGAATAATATTCAGAAGATAATGTCGGGGAAGAAAATCTGCCCAGATTGAGGCAACTTCTTTTGTTCACAAAGGATCCCCGCAAAACCTGATGTCAGACAATGACCTTCAATCTTTCATGCTGGAAGTCAGTTGTTTTCCCTGGTTGAATTCCTTCCTTTCATTAACATTTTTATCCCCACAGTACCTAGACTGTGCTATAATCCGGGGTTAGAAAGATTAATCCGCCACCATGGCTTTGCACATACTTTCTCAGCTGGAGCTTGGCTTCTTTAGAAATCTGAATTAAATACATGTTAAGATAAGTCACCTAGCACAAACATTACAGCTTTCTTATTTTCTTGGCAAATTTACTTCCAATGACCTGACAGATCATGCACTGTTGGTTTATGAGTATAAGTAACAACAAAGCCTTTTGGATGTATTGACCACTTATAAGTCTATCTGATACTTGGGCAGGTAATCTTCAATTCACTTCCTCCATTTTTGGTTGATGTGTTGGAATCTAATTATTCTATCTTAAAAGATAATTGCAGTTGTGAACCAAACCAGAGAGTGAATGACCTGGAATCTAACATTTACTTTGCAATATTCTTTCACGAGAAAGTGGTCAGTGACTTTCCATTTTTTTTACAAGCTTCCCACTGCTACTGCCCTGGGATAAAACTACTTTTTTGGCTTTTGGCTTACTGGGCGAACAAGAGCTGAGTGGGAAGAATCCCTATTCAATTTTGTACTTGCCTGCATTGCACAGCTGCAATCAGATCAACAACACCGAAAGTTTACATTTATATTACTTTTCACATTAGGAGGATGTCTTAAAATGTGTCACACAACTGAATGGGAGCCCAAGGTGAGTGGTAGGTGAGGTAGGGAAGAGGAAGTTTGAGGAGGTGGTCAAAAGCAGAGTTGAAATGATAGGTGTTAAGGCAAGTTTTTAAAGGTGGAGAAAGGGATGGCAATGGAGTATTAAAAGATATGGGAAGTGACATAGAAGAGTGGGATTAGATCAAATGTTTAGAGAAAAGCACTTTTGATACATCCCCATGACCTGAAAAGAATTATATAAGTATAAAGTGTATTGTAAATTGTATAAAAACACCAGCTCAGATTTGATGGACTGAATGTCCTTTTTTGTATGTTATGATTACAATCGGTCAAGAAAACATTTGAAAGCAGCTTATTAATGTCAACTAATAGTCAGTTTCTCTTTACTCAATGGCTTTGATCCCATGTGGAACAGAAAACTAAATTCAGACTTTCAGATGAGACATCAAACCTCAGTCCCATCTGCCTGTTCAGATGGACATTAAAGATCCCATGATACTTTCAAAAAGAGATGGAAGTTTCTCCGGGTGTCTTTGCCAAAAATCCCTAGAATAAAATTGGTCATTCAATTTATAGCTGTTTGTGGGACAGTCCTGTCCACAATTCCACTGCCACATTTACTTACAGTCAATGCGCTTCACAATAAAAACAACAAAATTACATTTATATAGCGCCTTTCATGTCGGGAGGATGTCCCAAGGAGCTGGACAGACAGAATTACGGACCCGAACTTGAGGGTCGGGGTGGGGGAGGGGGAGTGCAGGGGGAAGCAGAGAAATTGAAAGCACGGTCAAAGAGGAGGGTCTTGAGGTGGGTCTTGAAGGTGACGAGGGAGGGGACGAGACGGAGGGACTGCAGGATGGAGATCCAAAGGGTGGGTGCAGAGTGGTGGAAGACCCGTCCATCGATAGTGGGGCGAGCAAGGTAGGGGACATGAAGCAGACCAGAGCCCACTGAGCGGAGGGAGTGAACAGGATGGGAGGGGTTTAGGAGGTCGGAGAGGTAGGTGGGAACAAGACCATGGAGGGCTTTGAAGGTGAGGACCAGGATCTTGAACTGTATCCTCTGTGTGATGCGAAGCCAGTGGAGTTGGGCAAGGATGGGGGTGATACGGTCATGGAGCCTAGTGCAGGAGAGGACAAGGGCTGCAGAGTTCTGGATGATCTGCAGCCTGTGGAGGGAGGAGTTGGGGAGAAATCATGCATCAACAACATAATAAGTTGCTTTACCAAATGCAAGGACTATTATAATTCTAAGGAAAATATTTCATAGTTTTGGGTATGGGCAGCTCATTGCACAATCATAGCAATGAAAGTGGATGTTGTGTTAACAAACTATTGTAAGTTATTCAGCATTTCAGTGATTCACCTGATAATCAACAAGGGAGTGAGACCCAGTGCAATTCATACCCGATACACTTGTACTGCAGCAAATCTAGAAGGCTTCAGGAGATGAGGCTCAATGC